GATGATGAGCTCCACCAAAACGTTGATATCTCAGAGGAGGAAATCCATGGGTTTGATTCTCAAGTCACCCCTCCCTCCTCCAAGTTGGAGTATTCGTCTCCGAAGCCGTTGCACTGTGATACAAAGTGGGTAGGATCTAGTTCGATTTGCTCCACAGATAAGCTTATACTTCCGGAGGTTGACAACATAGCTCGAGTGAGAAAAGCTCTGTGTCAAGAATTGAAGATTGCTCGTATCTATACTCGACTAGAGAAAATGGAGTTTGAATGCACTCGGTTGGTGGTGAAGCTTGATGACATCAAGCGCGATCAGTCCGTCAAGATTGAAAGCAAAATCCACATGTGTCATTTCATTACCATCCTTGGTGTTTACGCTCGGTTCCACAAGAACATTGCCACCCGAGCCCACCAGGTCTGCGGTCATGCTACCCTTCCCATGCTGCCGTTTCTCGAGAATACGAAGGCGTGGCACGACCGTCATTTTCTCTTGGACCCCGGCTGAGTTGTACAGGTTTCGTCAAGCTAATGACGTTAAACAAGCGCTTCTTGGGAGGCAACCCAAGTGATTTACTGCTTTCTTGTGTGTTTCGTTGATTTTTATTTTATTTTTTTTTATAATGGGAGTTTTGGAGTTTTGTGATTTTCTTGACAAGGAGCGAGCTTGCAGGTTACGGCATAGACTGAGCTGAACGCCCTGGTTAAGCATGGGCGAATATTTCATATGGGAAGAATTACTCGACTTGATACATTTTCGGTTTGCACACACTTTTCTTTTATTTATTTATTTTTCTCTTATTTGTGTTCTTGTGTGTTTGATTTTTTAGTTTATGTTTGTCGCATGAGTGCTTGTGCGATTGTGTGTTCTTTCCTATGCTTTTTGGTCAAGCAATGAGGACATTGCTTTGTTTTAAGTGTGGGGGAGTAATCTCATCATTATGCATGCTTAGGCGTCATTTTAGGTATGTGTTTGTGTCGATTTCCCCATATGAACTTAATGTTTGTTTCAAGTCAAAATGACTAAGTGGTTAGTTTGGATTGTCGTTTGGTTTCATTGATAATTCTCATGCTCGATGTACTTGATGAATTTGACGGTTCCCTTAAAATTAAATGAAGATTTGTTGACATTGGAAACCACAATTGTGTTAGAAAAAATTGTTTTGTCCCTTGTTTATTCTCGATTGGTGATCTTGAAACAATCTTGTCTTATGTTCGATTATTGTTAACGTGTTATGCTATACACTTGTGTTACGTCTTGATTGAATTATGATGTTCATGTTATTATATTCATGATGTATCCTTGTGTTACCATCCCTTTAAAAAAAAAAATAAAAAAAAAAAAATAAAAAAAAAAATGTGAATAAGATGTGAGTTCGCAAGGAAGTACGAATTAGGCTCCTATTGTTTCGGTCCATTTTATGGAATGAGATAATGAGCCCGGGAAACCGGTCTAGAAAACTCGAGGAAAACCCTCGAGGCTAAACCTAGATAATAATCATTCGGAAACCTTGTTTGGAAAAATGTAGCTCACGGAAAAAAAAAATAAAAAAATAAAAAAAATAAAAGAAATAAAAAATAAAATGAGCTCGTGAGAGTTGAAAGGATTAGACTCCGCTTGATCTGAATAACCTCACTCGAGATAGATATGGTCAATGAGTATGGGAAACCGGCCTAGGACACTCGGGGACAAACTCTGAGGGTAAACCTAGGTAATTATTGTCCTAACGACTCTCATTTGGAAAAAACGACTCATTAAATAGAAATAATAAAAAGAGGGAATTGGACTTTTGGGTTGATTCTTATTGTTTTCTACATATTGAGTAAACCATTTATAGTTTTTTGCACGTGTATTTGTAAAAAGGAAGTTTGAATTAAGTAAATCATTTGTAGAATAACTTGGGACGAGTTTTTGTTTCATTTGAACTCATTTTGTGGGGACCGTGTTTTCAAATTTGAGTTGAGTTTTATGGATAACCGGAGGAAGACGAGAGTTTCATTTTGAATGATTATTAACTTTGGACTTTTCGATCTTTCTTCTCGAATTGCTTGTTGTTTTGTTTGCTTGAAGACAAGCAAAGAGTTAAGTGTGGGGGAGTTGTTTGTACTATTTTTGTTACGTTTTTCGTTATTGTTTTGTAATTCTTTTTCCCTGTTTTAAGTCTTTTTGTTAGTTTTTAGTTAGTTTTGTGTTTTATTATGTATTTTGTTCCATTTTGGTTTTCTTTGTGTTTTTCGTGTGTTTTTCCGGTTTTTCTTCGTTTTTGGTGTGCAGGTCGAAAGTCTCGTGAGGAGTCGATTATAGACCGGGCAATCATGGTGGACTTATTGGCTACACATAGGAAAAACCGGAATTTGATTTCGAGTTCGGATGAATCCGGACGGAACCAAAATGCGAAGCCGCGCAAGTTACCGACCCTTTTAAAAGTTGGAAATTCCACAAAATTTGTATCCTGAGAAAAAGTGTGGTTTTAAAGCATCATTGGATAGAGGGGTTTGTTACCTACGCGTAGGAAAAACGGAACCCAATTCCGAGTTCGGACGAGCCAAAAACGTAAAGCCGCGCAGTGCAGTCGCGAGAAGGCCGCGAGTTGGCAACGATTTTTCTCACTTTTCTTCACTTTTCTTCTTTTTTCTCCTTGGTAGATGATGGTTGTTGATGATAGTGTTGACAATGGTTGATAGTGTTGAGATTGGTATGCTACTTATCATCTATAAATACCCACTTCATTCATCATCCAAACCATCTCCTAAAAATCCAAATTAATCACAATCCAAATTTATCACAATCCTTTAATCCTTCCATTACTTTCACTTAGTGTGTTTCTAGATTAGTTCTTGTGTTGAATTTTAGAGGTGTTCTCCAAGGCTTGTACTTGTTCCGGTTTGGCGTGTATTTATTCTCAGTTTGGCGTTTGTATCAACTTTATTCATCAACTTGGATTACAAGTAAGTTTTCTTTCTTGTAATTATAATTTGCAATGAATCTTATGTTGAGTTTATTTTTTATATGAATAGCTAAATCATTAGCTAGGGGTAGGGAATAATTATTCCGGTTTAAGCTCGTTTATATGCATGTTGATAATTCCATCTTGACGAGTTGTTTTAATCATGAATTAATAAATTAAACTTGATAAATCTTTATAACCTAAGAGTGACACTTAGGTTAATTTTATGATATAATCAAAGAGTGACACTTTGATTTGTGCTTGATATTGATTTATTAAGTTAAAGTTTGTTAATTTTGTGAATTACAATTTGTAGAACCGAGAGGGGAGGAGTTGTAAAAAAATAATCTATTTCATAACCGAAAGGGGAGAAATTGATAGAACTTGGCTCGTTTAGAATAGACATGTTCGGAGACGTATTGTCTATGTGTTAATTGTTTCGTTAATTTGCTCGTTTATGTTTTTCCATATATTACGAGAGTTAGTATGGTTGAACTGCTAAATGAGTTAGTTAGTTGAACTACTTAACCGAGTTATTGATTGTCGTTGAATGAGTGTAAAACCGGAAGTGATTTAATCCCGATTCCCTAGCTTCTTTATTATTGTCTTGTTTATATTTTTAGGTAAATTATTATTGTTATTTCTTAGTTGATATTTTAGTTAATTATTATTCAATCCATTTTGATTAAAGTGTTTAGGATTTATTTTCATTATTTTCCGTAATCGACGTATAAGTTAATTGACATCAATATTAAATTCCGAACAGTCTTCCTCGAGAGATCGACCCGGGAAACGAATCATTTGATTCGGTGCTCGGTAAAAAGAAAATAATTTGTACACAACAGTAGCACTTTCAAAAGCAATATGCATATTGATTATAAGTCTTATGAGCACTTTGCAAAACAAAAAGAAATTTTGTGCTCACAGTATATATATTCATCCAGCAGTTACATAAGATACCTTAACCTATATATCTCATTAATACTTAAAAGCACGTATCTCACATATTCAAAATACTTGTTGATGGTTTTGGTGAACAACCACCACTGCAGAGCAATAGTCCAATGTACCAACGAATTATTACTGTGGTTTACTTTTAAGAATCACATGAACTATTTGACAATTAACAATGCCATAAAACATCCTTAACAATTTAGCAAGATAAACACCAATTATTTGCTTACCTAGAAATGTAATGCTATGTTGAATTAACAACTAAACAAAAGTTCAAATAAACACATCAAAAAGGACTCAGCAATAAGGCATTTAACAAGCTACAGAACATAACACAATAAAGCCTTCCTTTTCTTCATTCTTATCATCTACTTAACTTTAACAATAAACTTAAGGCCCTAAAACCGAGTACATACCAGCATGTTAACAGGTCATATAAATTTAACGAAACATACATCAAAAGGGGACCAAAAATATAACACAGCATGCCTTATATCATCTCGTTTTCTCATGCTCGAAATTATATTCATTTTCATATAGCAGGAAGAACACTTCCACAATATAATCTCGATTTTCCAACAATTCACACATCACAACCAACTCAATAATCAAAAAAATGAAATCAACTTCCAGCAATCTCAAGAGTCGGTTTAGCCAATATACCTCTCTCGGCGTAAGAAAGGGGCAGGGCCGGGCTCGGTTTCAGACTTTGTCCACTTGCTTTCGGCTCGGGTGGTCGGATGCCTGCCCTCAGCCGCTGCTCGCTTAGCTAGAAAAGAACCCGGCCACTGCTCGTTGAAAAGGAAGTCGGCCGCTGCTACTCGTGAGTCATCGGCTGCCCGCTGCCGGACGACGGGGCTGCTACTGCTATGGAAAAGAAGATGACAGGGAGTTGGTTGCCCGAAGTCGACGGCGATACCCGTTTGAATGGGCCGTCTCTGTTCGCTCGTCGCTGCGGGGCTGCCTACGTCGGGTGACGAGAACTCAGGTGCAACGGACGAACCGATGGGGACTGCTGCTCGCCGGAAGTAGTCGCTCGCGGAGGAGGATCGCCGGAGACGGCTGAGGAACTGCTCGTCGTGAACAGGACTTCTGGTCAGCGGCTATGGTGATTTCCGACTTCATGTGGCGGAACTCACCGGAAAAAGACCGCCACTGCTCATTGACTGACGTGAACGGACGAGGAAGGCAGCTACCCATCGATTTCTGGAATGTAATGGAGTTCGAAGGTTGGGGTGACGGAACACCAACGATAGTGGGGGGTCTCCTCGACGGGGTGCGGCTGAGAGAGAAAGAGAGGGCTCGATTTCTGCTACACACAGTGGTCGCCGGAAAGATTAGAGCTTCAGGTCGCTGAGTTTGTGTCTGAAATTCTCTGAGGAAGAAGATGAATGTGAGGGGCGCGGCTGATGCAGAGAGTTAGGGTTGGGAGGAATCACGAGAGAGAGTGTTATACGGGGTTTTGGGGGATTTCATGGGTCTCAAGAAGTTTAAAACCCCCCTCTGTAGATCACAGATGCTCCACCACAGTTCCTCACTCTCTCAACCCCTTTCCCTCATCGGAGAACGTCTCGCCGAACCATGGCTCGCGCCCTGTTGCTGCTCGCATTTGGGGTTCTGGTCGCCTGCGCCGCTGGCGCGCAAGGCAGATCGGAGCTCCTCGTCGACGAAAACCCGATCAGGCAAGTCGTCGATGGCCTGCACGAGCTCGAGAACTCTATTCTCCGGATCGTTGGGAGCTCGCGGCGCGCCATCTCTCCTTTGAGTTAATTGGGCCGAAAATACATAATTAAATGGGTCGGTACTACAAGGATAAATTCTTGGATTTTACGGGCTCGACTTAGTCAAAATAATATCTCAGTTCTCCAGTTATAAATTTTAACAGCTCAGTTCGATCGTACGACAATTAAAAATAAAACAGGATAATATATATATTTAATACATACATTATTTATTTAAAATATAATAATAAGCAATTAAACATTTAATGTCAAATAGGCATTCAATAATAATAATAATAATAATAACAACAAAAACAATAATAATCCTAAAATAATTCGTAAACAACGGGTCTATGAGTTGGCCGGTTTCGACTACCTGTTTATCGGGCTCAATTTCATAAAATCCGAATGTATATAACGTTCGGAAAAATAAAATATGATGACCGTAAATTTTTTTCAATTTACAAAATCGACAATATATATATTTATTAGCACCCAATAATAAATATATTATCAAGCAATTATTTCACTTTGGCACTTTAATAATAATAATAATAATGCCAAAATATCCGAAAGATCCATTATTCAAACGGATATATTCGGTTCACACCATTAAACCGAAATCGCCATGACGAACGTTTTCAAATAAAACGATCGAGTACCCCAACCTTTTGTTTAAGTCGATATCGCGACCAATAAAATAAATATAACCTTATAAATAATATTCGATAAATAGAATAATCTGAGATATTCTATAAATCGAATGGGGCGCTACACAAACGATCACCATGGTCGAGAACCGAGTGACCCGGTCGAACTTTGATTCCTAGAGCGGATTTCTATGCTCCTCATTTTGCAATGTCGACTTTCCTTTGTTATCTCCCGATCTGCTTACTTTGGTGGATTTTCTTGATCCCTTCACGAAGTCTGGAATTTGGAAATTTGAACTCACGTCCCTTGTTTCTCGACCACCATGTTCGAGCTCTCTCCATCCAAAGATAAATCTTTCCTACCACCTCGTCTTATCATCGCTCCCTCAGTTCAAAATTTAAAATTCAACCCTGCTGTTTATCCTCTCGAAAATCAAATATCCTAACACCACACCGAAGTCAAAAGCCGAATTCGACAAAACCAAATAAAATCATCAACCTGAATAATCTGACTCCGTGAACTGCTGCGAGTGAACTCCCCCGACCTACCTCGGAGGTCAAAAAATAAATTCGACAAAACCACAATCAAGTAAAAACCATCGACCTGCCACCGAGGTCTTCGAATAATCTTCACGAATTGCGCCAAATGACCTCCATCCCCCTGCCTCGGAGGTCGAAAAATAAATTCGACAAAACCACAATCAAGTAAAAAACGATCGACCTGCTCGGGCTATCCATCCTCCATGTCTTCAACGACCCAACATTAGGATCGACCACCCAGCCTCACGGCCTTAGTCGTGGTGGATTTTTGTCTTCGAACACATGCCCACCCTCGAAGGAGTGGTCGGTACATGCGACCACCCAGCCAGAGGCCTTAATCATGGTGGATTTTTTTTTCTTCGACCACTTGCCCACCCCGAAAAAGATGCACCGAATCAAGCGACCACCTAGCCCAGAGGCCTTAGTCATGGTGGATTTTTTTCTTCGACCACTTGCCCACCTCAAAGGGATGTTCCAGAAACAAGCGACCACCCAGCCCGGAGGCCTTAATCATGGTGGATTTTTTTCTTCGACCACTTGTCCACCCCGAAAGGGATGTTCCAGAAACAAGCGACCACCCATCCCAGAGACCTTAATCATGGTGGATTTTTTTCTTCGACTACTTGCCCACCCCAAAAGGGATGTTCCAGAAACAAGCGACCACCCAGCCCGGAGGCCTTAATCATGGTGGATTTTCTCTTCGAACTGCTCGAACACTTCGACCTGCCACTGAGGTCGACAAGAAAACACACCAAAGACTACGAGACAGAATAGTAATTGATCATTTTCGTTAGTCCCATCAAATGCATCGTTATATCGAACAAGATAAAAAAAAAAATCGAGCATAATTTTCAACCTCCCTTTACTGTCTGCACACGACGATCTGAGTTGCTTTTTGCTCCATGCTTTCCACTCCTCACCATAATCAATATCCAGTCCACATGCTCATTCATTTTCCTCAGCAAGAATTCAACAAATTCCATTAGTGGTATTTTATCCACATCATCCAATTTGCAATCCCGATGGCGATATTGACAAGAGATGAATAAATCAAAACAATCATATTGGTCCATATGCTTTTATACCACACATCAATCTACATGCAAGTCTTTTTACTACGATATGAAATAGCATAAACACCCACTCAAATATATAGTCGACCAGAATTCAGCAAAACCATGAATTCGACAAGCAATTACAACAAATCATACTCTGCAGCTACAAACAATCATTAAACAAATGCACCAAAGAAAAATTCGAATGAATTACTCATAATACCGAGCTCCTTGGTCATGACGACTAAAGACAAGCTACCCCGAAGGCCTTAATCATGCCAGATTTTTGTTCAAGCCTCCACGAACACCTCATTTTCTGCATTTTGTTAGTCACCTGAATAATAATATTAAACATATCTGATGTAGCCATATAGAGATATACCGGCCCAAAGGCTCTCTACTCGACCGGATAAGTGGCTCAAACCGTTCACATATCGACCTGAACATGTCGACATGTTCAAGTCGACTTTCTCAAAGACGACTCTTCATATGATTAATGGCGAGAAGCGGCAGATCCATACAAGTCGACTTGCGGAAGTCGACTTTGTGCAGTCGACTCCCCTGTAGTCGACATCCATTTGGGCAGACCAACAAGACCGTAGCGTCCAAATAACTAGAAGAGCCTGCGTCGACTTGTCCATGCTCGATGTCCATTCCTCCTACTTCGAGACCTGAGGCACACTGACGACTTCATACACTTGTAACATATTCAAGGCTCTGCATTCTTCAAAGGATAGGAAGGAATCTTGTGATGACTCAGCAGCAAGGGGAGACGAATCGACTAGGGCAATTTAGACCTTTCAGGTCCACCGACTGGGGCATTTCAGGTACTTCAAGTAAGTGTTTCCTCCTATACAAAGGAGATGAGGTAACCCTAAACCCCAACTCTCATTCATTCTCCACTCTCCTTCATAGCTGCTGCGCAGCCTCTCTTCATCACTCTCATACTGACTTGAGCGTCGGAGGCTCTACGCCGGAAACACCTCCGGTGTTGAGTTTTTGCAGGTATTCTTGCAGTCTAGCAACGGTTCAAAAGCGATACAAACAGATCTGAGCTCCTTACCACCGGTTCACTCCAGATCTGAAAGTAGACCCATCATATTGGCGCCATCTGTGGGGAGTTCTTAAGGGAAACAAGAGCTTCACACCTAGCTCTGATCTGTTTCTGATGGCTGAGAAGGAAGGTTTGAAGAGGAACTTGAATGAGGAGTTCAGGGGAGCTTGGACAGACAGGAGACCACCACCCATCTCAGCCCCTCGACCTCCGGTGGTTCAGATACTGGGACTACCACCATTTGAGGGACTTCCGCCGCCGGGGATGAATCTGAGTGGAGAAACGCCCATTACTCCACCCGGGATGAAGGTGCAAGTGTTGACCCAAGTAGGAACAAGTCAAAACCCTAATCCAAATGTTGGAGAAAAGGAGCTAACGGAGATGTCTCGACGCAAGGGGAAACAGCTCCAGCAGGTGTCGGACCAGACACAAACACAACCCCGCGTCGAGGAGCAGACTCTGATGATGACGAGGAGTGAAATGCAAAAGATGATCGCTGAAGCTGTGGCCGCCCAGATGAGATAGGTAGTGTGAGTCGAGCCGAATCCTCAGGTCGAGCAGAACCCGCGGGTCGAGCAATAGCCTCGTGTCGAGCAGCAAGCCCAATCAAACGTACATGAAGATAGAAGGGCGGACAAAGAGGAATCCTCCATTCGAACTGTCAACCAGCAGGCGAGGGACGAGACGTTAAAGCAGTTGCTGGCCCAGGTCCGCGACTTGCAGGCTCAAGTCGGGGGAAGAAAGACCATAGGAGCAAAGGAACAGCCATTTTCACAACAGATCCTGAGAGCCGACTTACCTAAAGGCTTCAGGGAGTTGAGCATATGGTACGATGGCTCCACTGACCCGTCTCGACATCTGAGGAGCTTTGAGAACATGGCAGTGCTTCACCGCTACAGTGACCCGGTACAATGTCGTGCCTTCATGACGACTCTGACAGGGTCGGCCCGGGACTAGTTTCACCAACTACCAGCTAGGTCGATTAAGGACTTTGATGGTTTTAGCTTGAGCTTTCTTAATCAGTTTGCAAGTGTTAGGGTGCAGGAGAAATCCTCCCTCTCGTTGATTAGCATGCAGCAGAAGAAGGGTGAGTCGCTGCGAGAGTATGTGGCAAGGTTTACGAGGGCTTGTGTTGAATGCCAGACAGCAACAGAGGAAATCAAATCGGGAGGACTGACGAGGGGACTGCTACCAGGGTTGTGTAAGAATTCCTTGGCCAAGCGACCTGGTAGGAGCTTCGACGACGTGTTGGGAAGGTGTGCTAAGTACATGAATGTCGAGGAAGCGGAAGTCGACTACATGCAGAGTATAAAGATGTCTCAGACTGAAAGTCGAGACGACAAGAAGGAGAAGAAGATCCACTCTACTGGGGAAAGGAGAGGATCACCACGAGCTGGTAGGGGTGAAGGACGATCTAGGGATGGAGGCCGATTCAATACACACCTCTGTCGGCTCCCCATGCGAGAATACTGGAAGTAATGAACAGAGAGATACGAGACGACGTGGTTAGATGGCCGCGGACGAGAAAGGATGGACCGATGAAGCCCAAGAGCAACTTATATTGTCGATTCCACAAAGACTATGGGCATAACACTGACGATTGCAGACACCTCAAGGACGAGATCGACAGGTTAATAAAAGCAGGCCACTTGAAAGAGTTCATATACAAAGATCGCGAGAGGTCGAGCAAGAGGAGAGAAATAAGCAAAAGCCCTCGCAAGAGGGCAAGGTCACCAGAGAAGGAGGAACT